TTTAAATAAAAAAATTTGCATACACAAGTGAAAGAGAATGAAATAATAATAAAACGTTATTATATCATATTGAGTCGAGCACCGTCTGCGCATAATGATACCTTTATCACTGTGCACAGTAGTAGAGACGTAGCATTAAAGCGACTCTCTCAATCGCGCAATATCGTAGGACTATTGCGACAATTTTTTTCATGTTCTATTTCTCATCGACAATTTTTTCAAAGGATGTTTCATGAACGAGATATATTTTCTGCTATATATCACTCAAATATTACATACATTTATGTACGTAAACGCGATAAAAGATATACGTTCAACGGGAATTTCACTGGATGAAACTCATCGAGATAAGCTACCGCAGCGACATCCTATAGTTTGTTTCATTAAATAAAATCCGATGCGCTTCGTATACGATATGCGGACGATTCACATTTCACGGTTTATACTATTAAAACACGGCGCCGACTGCCGCTGCTGGAGGCCACTTTATCGAGTAAAGTCACTACAGCAGCTTTTACAGGAATTACTCACTGAATCGCAGCGAAGGGCGCTTCAACGTAAGTAAAGTGTACACAATGGATTCATCGCGGTATAGCTAAAATCCTAACACTGCACTCGCGACGCTTCATCGAATTAATCTTAGTCTACGAGCTTTTACCGTGATCGTGGGAATCGTGAAAAATGATGCTATTTATTTCGTTTAAGACGAGATCTATCAGACAGAACGCTTCGGAGTTTAGCTCGAACCAATATATGCAGGGGAGATTTTCATTCATCATCTCGTGTAGTTGAACATAATTGACGAAGAGATTTGATCTGATTAATTGAGAACATTAAATCGTGATAACCTTTATAAAAAGAATTCGGATTTTCTGTTATTTTAATTCTATATAGCATATAACGTGACTCATAAATGCGAAAAATCGATGTTTAACAGAATTAAAATTGCAAATGCAATTAGCAAAAGGAATTAATGCATAAAAGTGTAGAATATATGTGCATGTGTATGTGTGTGTGTATGCTATCTAGACTGTATAAACCGTGAGACGATTTCGACTCAAATCCCGCATATTTGTCGAATAAATTACGCAATTTCTAATTAAATATAACTCAAGTGCCTATTAGAGTTGGCTCGTTAATCAACCCCTCACATACCAAGTGACATTCTTCTCATGGATCTATCCCTTTCACGCAATTGCTCAACGTACCGTGCACATATATATCTCATTTACATAAAATATAACTTTCGCTTCTCCGTACAATCGAGCAATTTATTACAATTAATCCTGCGTATATAGAAATAACGTACAGAAGATGAATATTAATGATCAGACACACATCAAATGTCACGTATACATACCATCGAATATTGATCGAAAAAAATATGTCAAAACGTTTAACCCATTTAACCAGTTTCACAGTTTTCGAAAATAAATAATATTCAATATTATTAGACTATTGTATATTTTCTGCGCGAGTAAAATGCTCCGGAAGCTCGCGAAACAAAATTCAAAATGCATTCTAATCGCAACAAATATTTTATGAATATTATCCGATCGATTCCAATCTGCAATATTGCAATAATTGCAACATTGTAATAATTCCGACCGATCGGGCAATAATAATCCGCGATATTACGAAAAGCAATTATACAGAGTGTTTCTTAATACGGAAAAGGTGTGAACTCAGTGCTTCGATGCGAGTTTTACTTCTGCTTCTATAAGTATTCTAAATAAATGTTCCAATTAGCTAACAGTAGCTAACAGATTGTCGATATGACGGGACAACTTTCATGTTTCTATTTTTAATTAATGTAATTGCTGAATAAAAACAACACTTGGAAAAGGACCACAATGTGGATCGAAACGTAGTGTGTACTTATCTTCAATAAATGGAATAGCCAGTTTTTAGTCAAATTAAATTGCATCTTATTATTTGTGAAAATTTCCAATTGTAAAATACTTTTCACACGCCAAGAGAAAACTTTTGCAGCAATACTTAATCGACAATTGTTGACGTGAAAAATACGTTTTTCATGTTTTTCATTTGTTACAATAAACGCAACAGAATAATTCGTTATTTTTTGATATCTCCGGTATCTTTAATCAGAAGCTTTTTTCTCTAGCGACCGCGGTATTACGCAGGATTACTAGTACCCGATATTTCCTCGTAATTTGCCCGAGAACTTCCTTCACGACGAGATGAGAGGAAACGAGGGTGAAGAGGAAGGAATCGCAGTGCGACCAATTTTCATAGAACGGGACGAGCTGCGTATATCTCATTGCAGGTAAGCGGATGACCTAATTTCATAACAATGCATCCCGCCAGCGAGCATTTGGCGTACATTGCGCGAGCGAGACGCGAGCGCAAACAAACACGAGCCGGGTTGAGAAAATTGTGATAGAGGAGGCGGGAGAGACCGCTGTTTTATCATCGTGCTGCAGTAGATGCGAATATCGGGGGTTAGGGAAAGGGGAGTAAATTCCGCAATTTAGTGGGGTACATTTATGAGCGCCACCGGTTATTTATATTTACACGTTAAACGCGAAGGAAAATCGCGCGAATTTTGTCCCTCTCTCGAATAATATATTTCCCCTATATAATTCACTTTGCGCCCCCGTCGCGTTTGCGTTTCTATCGAAATACCGAATATACGCGTCAAATCTCAATCAGCTGTCTCGCCGAACGAGAGACTTTGTACGAAAATTACGAGGCACGTGAAGAGAGACGATAACAAAGTACCGACGACGTGATTTTAATTTACGAAACCACTCCCGCGGGAATATGCTCGTCCGAAAATAAAGCACTGTTCCCAAGTGAAATAGCGTCTCCGGGAGGTGAATATGCATTTATGTTTGCCTAGAAAGGTCCGCGGAAGGCTTAATTCGTTCCCGACGACGAAAAGAGACGAGAGGGTGGGTCAGAGAGAAAGAGGGACGAATGAAACCTCCCTGTTCTCTTCCACACACAACGCGTGGTTTTACGCGCTCGCGTGAGTCGAAATTCATGCGGCGCGCAGGAACTGATATTTCCCAGAAAATGAATCACCCTTATACAAGCGGACCGACACACCGCGGTAACAGCGGCACAATAGTCAGACAATAGCAAAAGCGCGAGTTGGTTGCTAGCTAGCGAAAAGGGATGGATACAGCACAAAGAGAGAGAGAGAGAGAGAGAATAGCGGAAGGGTGGATGGAGGGATCGAGAGATGCGCGCACGACGAGGGTAGGAAGATTTGGTGGGTCGTTTCTCTCTCGACGCGCCGAGAGAGAGAGAGAGAGAGGGAGCGAAGGGATTGTCGGAGAAGGATGGGAAAACTGAAACTACGCTCTCCAGACGGAAACAGGATGAAGGTGCGCCTTTCCGCGTACAAACCGCGCCGAGCCGCACCGCCAAACAGCAGCCGCGCAAATTAAATAACCCACATCCATTAAAGGCGTTGCCGTTACTCTTCCGGCTTCGTACCCCGGTTACCGAGCACTTAATGTCTAATTAACGTGTTACGCAAATCGGCTGATAAAACCGCGCGACGCGCGGTTTCATAATTTACGATCTCGCGACCGAGAGTTCGCGGTGCGCTATTTGTCTCTAACAACGGAGATATCATTCAGGGAGCAAAGAAAGCTTTCATCAATTTATACCGACGGGGTGAACTAGATTTGCTCTGACGATTTTTAAATTACTCTTATACATGCGAAAGATATTTTTGTCGTTGACTTTTATATCAAAGTATTTCGGGGAATGTATCATTATTTTATTGTTTTCGAGAGATTCAGGTTTCTGTAAAAATAATGTTGATTTGTAATTTGTAATTTGATAAAAGAATATCTTACTGGCAATGAGTGAAAAGAGATTAAAAAATAAATTATTCTCAAAGTTGATTTAGATCAATTAAGTATTTCGAGCAGCGTATAAAATATAAGTTTAGTTTCGAAAAGAGAGAGAGAGAGAAAACTATATAAAATCAATATTTTGCATTATATTAAATTCGCGGCGCGAAATATGATTTACATTGCTTATAATAAGTGATTCATTTAATAACGTCAAAGTAATTAAACAGAAATGTGTATGATCAAACAATAAATTATTAAATGCTTGTCAATAAATCATTAATTGCTTATTGTAAAATTACAATATTAAAGACTCTTTAAATATGCTATTTTAAATGACCAAAAATAGATAGATAGATTCATATAATATATGTTCAAACATTTCAACATTCTTTATATGCATAATATTTAGCTCTAAAATTTAAAAATTTTGACGTCATTTTGTTTGTCATTTCAGGGGGCATGAATTAAAAATTTAAATTACATGGACTTTCTTTAGAAAGGCGCAAAAAAAAATGGAGCAGAAAATATATATCGAGACGACGCGATGACTGATGAGAAGCGTTTCTTTTCACGACGAGTTTTATCACATGCACCTATACATGCATATATTCAAATGTGACCGTTCCTTGGTGTTCATGAAATTTAAAACCTATCGACCCGTATAGCAACTAGGTCCTCACGAGATTGCTCCTTTGAGGCCTGGTCAATCGCGGCGTCACTCATGGTCCTGGTTTATCAAGCTACCCTTCACTCTCTTGCAAGGCTTTCATGAAATTTAATGGGTTATCCGATATATACTCTTCATTTTTTTTCATGTCAAGTCGGTTCACGAGAAACAAAGAACGCCGATGCTAACCTGTTTTTAATCCTAATTTTCCGCCCCATTCTCATATAATCTTTCAACTACCTCTTTCATTCAATTTCATTCCGGATTTATTTTTAGTCACACGATGTAGTTAATTAATAATCAACAACGTTGGAAAATACTCCCAATTATGGGCTCACGAGAGTATTTTTAATTGGCGTATGCAATAAGTGTCGCTTTTAATTCAATTTAAGAACGTAATTCGTAAAATATTTTATAACACATCGTTCACATATTCGTGAATAGCTTGTTCCGAGAACAATATTCATTTAAATTGTTCGTTGAAATATTATTAAGACAAATTAAGCACCTATATTTTATTTAAATGTAGTATTGTGTTACAGTTACCTGAATGAGCAGCTCACATACGGGGACGATGTTATTACGTACGTTATGCACATTTACTTCGGAGAGAATGAAGAACTGTTTACGCCTAGCTAGCATCCCTTACGGCTGATCTTGTATTCGCGTCGTCGGTATCTAATAGCCATCTTATTCGTTTTGTATAATAAAATGCAGCATTACAGAGACGAAGTCTCCTCCGCTTTAACACTGAAGGCGAAACGCTTTACGAGAAAATTCAATAGATAGCCGAGCGATGGAGGATGTTATAGAGATTGTTCCGTTGGGCGTGATCTATGGGGGCACCGTGACCCGGTCTACCCCATAGCCTTTTCCAAGTATCGAAGTGCCTGCGACAACTCTCCTGTTCGATTCGCCGTTCCTCCTGAAACGAAATCGTGCTACAGAATAATTTGGAATTTTAGGCAAGACTACAAATGAGACATAATAGAATTAAACAGGAATAATATATATATATATATATGTTCTCATTTTATAAAATATGTAACCGAAAATCGATGATGAATTTTTTCATAAGTACGAAATAATATTTTAACCATCACACACAAGAAAATTGATTTTCAATTTTTATTAATAATTTTTAGTTGCACTGAAATAAAATATTTTAAGATTAATTGCTAATAACGTTATCTCATACAAATATATATATATATATATATATATATATATATATGTTCTCATTTTACAAAATATGTAACCTAAAATCGATGATGAATTTTTTAATAAGTACGAAATAATATTTTAACCATCACACACAAGAAAATTTTCAATTTTTATTGATTTTCAATTTTTATTATAAAATAATTTATTTTAACGTTTATATTTTTAATTGCAATAAAATATTCTAAGATCAATTGCTAATGACGTTATTTCATACAAATATACATACATATATATATATATCTTCTTTTATATATATATCTTGTGCTGCCTTCTAATGCTTATTGATTTTTACATATTACTACACTCGCCGCTATAACGAATCCTTCCCGCGAAATAGAAGCAATTTAGAAGAGGAACGAAGAAGAGCTTTTAGATTGAGTTAGTCTCGTTTTTATTTTCGGTCCATTTTGGAGTTAGCAAATTTGATCCTTATGGCTCGTTTGGTTTCATTCCATCCGTGGAGTTCGTACCGCTCGCGTAGCCAATTCGATTCAATAACAGACGGTCCGGCGAGATTGGCGAGAGATCGACACAATTAATCCCGTTCTGAATTAGCGTTTCGACGTCGTGCAATCATCATCGATCATACGGCACTTACCATCGCCCTGTCCCGTTTACGTCGTATCTGCTCGGCGAGATCCGCGATGTATTCCCGATTGCCCAAGCCGAGCGCGCGAAGCCTGCGAAAGAAAGGGAGAGATGTTCTCGTCAGCTTTCATATATCCTTTCTTTGATGGACTCTCTCCGCCTTCGCGGAAATGACGAAGCTATACATGCGTCGAAGCGCGGATTATATACATATATATATATATATATATATATGTACAGGAAATAAAGATTCGTGGGGAGTAACACTATCTGCAGTATATCGAGCGAATCTCGTATCGGATTTCCTCGAGCGAACTATTTAATATCGGTAAAAGTAAAGACGAAATAACGAAACGAATGACTATATATAACGGAGGTATGCATTTATGTGTATTTGCGAATAGATAGATTCAATATCGGATATCAAATATATTTCGGTTTAGTTAAAAATATTCTTATAATTCGCGATCCGAAATGAGAATTTGCATCAAGTTGAACAAAAAATCATATATAATAGAATCCTACATTATAGGTATATGCATTTATATATTTTGAAAAACATATATGTATATTAATGCGAATTTAATTTATCTTTTATTTTTATCACCCAGCTTACGCACGTATTAATTTCTCTATTTTTCCTCTGAAGAATTTCTCTGTTTTTTCGTTTCTATCATTCTCCAGTGATACAATAAAAACGCTATAAATGAAATGAGTAATTGGCATAAATTTTATTCTCATCGTCGCAAACTGTAAATATTGCAAGTGATTAAAAAACGACGAGAGCGAAACTATTCGTCTCTCTGCGCGTTTCAATATTAGAACGCTAAATTAAGTCGACTCGCTAACGGGAGGTGTGAAAGAAAGAGCTTTTCGCTCGAACGGTTCCAGTTACCAATATTTTCGATGCCGTTCTGAATAATCTTTAACGACTCTGTGCTAATAACTGCAAATATCTCGCATAGCGGCGTCCGGGGAAAAAAAGCACGTATACGAATCGATCGCTCTATATATCGATCTTCGTTGATCACCAAATTAAATACTTGCTCGCGTGCTACTTCGTCGTGAAAAACAAAAACAAATTGAAATAAAAATAAAATAAAACCGCACAAAAAGGGAGGTGAATAATGTACACTCCAGGCTTATACCGTCGTGTTTTTTTTTCTCCCGCAGGTTATCACCGCACACGGTAATCGAGATGATTAATTACTACAGGCACAACGCGGCAGCGTTTGGATGTTGGTGGCTGCGTTATAAACAACGCGACACCTCCTTCGCAACTTTCATACACTATTCTATTAAACGTTATCAAAGTGTCTCGTTACACGTCAGATTGATGCTTCTGTTCGTGACCAGCGTTGCGTCCGTTTACGTGCAGGACATTATCGAACAATTAATCGATATTATGCTATCGAATGTAAAGTCAAAGAAGAGAGTTATAGTCATTGTTTCATCAGCTTAATTGCAAACTTGGAATAAAAATATTCTTTTAGCAGAAAAAATAATCATTCACAAATCATAACGTTTCAATTGTTTCGTACATCTAATTTAAAACTATGCTGTTATGTAAGAAATGAATGTATTATTTGTAATTTACACATTTAGTGATTTTAGATTCTCATTTCTTCTGTGTATAATGTATATTTAATTTCCAGTTAAAAAGTGAAATATTAATATTTTTTTATACGATTACAATTAATACATATATATATATATATATATATATATATATATATATATATGTTTTCAAGAATTTTACTTAAAAATTAGAAAGTGAGTTGTATAGTCATATGTAAACTATCTTGATTATTCAAAAATGTTTTTCGATCATTCGTTAAACGATAAATAAATTTTTCGAGAAACAAAAGAAAAAAAAAGATTGACATTTTTATCCTTTCTTGAAATATTATAAACCAAGAGCATTCGTAAAACGTCGACTTGCAATAATATATTTATGCAGGAAGTTTATGTCAGAGTTCTCTGTCAATCGAGCATTTTTTTAGAGAGAGTATTTTTCATTCTCTCCAAGAAAATGTATTCTCCATGAAAAAAAAAAAATATTCTTTTACGACGATGACGAGGGAAAATTACGCTGATGAATATTTAGAGCGACGTTAGTGCACAAGGGAGGAAAATGAGGGAGGTGAGATTGAGCAGAAACGGACAGGTGAAATGGTCGAGGTCGAGTGCATCCAGGTCAATTGGTTGATTACCTGTAATGTAGTTACATCCCTCGAGTGTCGTATCACTACTAACCAATTCTACAGTTACCGTCGTGTTTCGTCAGGTTAACCATACTTGCGAGATACGAGTGAAAAATTAATTGTACACACGCATACTTACATACATGTACAGTGATATTATCTGACATTGACTGTATATTAAGATAAAAGATGAGTTATAAAGTTTCATCTTTTTAGCATATATTTTAGTATATGAAAACTTTTATGTAGAATTGTTAAAATTAAAAAAAGAAAAGTACGTCAAGAATTGCAAGAAAGAGGAAAAATAAAAAGCGGGGACAATATCAAGAAGAATGTTATGCAACCATAAATGTATGCTTTGAAATATAAAACTGAAATATAAAAGAAAATCAACGCCACAAAAAGATGCATATACAGATATTTTAAATATAGTAGATGGTAAAAATAGTACATAGATGTGCGATTTAGAAAAATTAATTGCAGCTTTAATATTGTGATATAAATATATATTTCCATTGACTAGACATTAAATGCTTTAGCTATTCTCAGCTAAATTATGAGTGATCAATAATACATTTTCATCGATGAAATTATAGAACAGTGGTAAGTGCTTTTAATATCAAATAGAGAAATTAATATAAAACGTGATAACATTATAACTAGTTATTATCGAACTATTTAATCTACATTATAGATATACTGAATCATTTATCGATTATACTCATCTCAATGCATATCATCTTTAACATTTACATTTTCACGTTTGCATATGAATGTGGTTTTGGAGTAGGTATATTATATAACATATTACATTCGAATGTATATTAATATAAAAGTGTAAGCAAATAATACACATTTGATTAATGCTAACAGTTGCAATTTAAATACAAAAGGGGATTTAATAGAAAAATTTGAAAATCTGAAAATTTTTCCACTTTTGCAAGTTTAAAATGTCATTCTCGTGACAATCAGCGATCTGTCATTTCGAATAAACGCACCAATATTTAAACAATCATTGCAAATATTATTCGTACTTACGACTCTATCGTGTATCCCGGACGAGTGGCATCCGTGACAAGGTAGCGTGTGGTCTGCGGATGCGATTGATAACGTCTGCTGGTTAACAAAGGTACCAATTCGACACCACCCGTGAGCTCGTACACCTGAACCTCCTCATTGTAGAGATTCCTCGAATCCTGGAACGGTTGTGTTTCCGATGCAATACCTGTGAAGCGAAAGACCGACCGAGAAACGAGGTTCAAGCATCAGCACCGGAGAGAAGCAAGTGGCAATCTCTGCTATTTACCTGGCGTTGCCCTGTCATCGTAGAATTTATTCATGTCCTCAACAGCCAGAGGATTCTTGTTCCTGTTATATAGCCTGTCGATGATCGAATTGCTCGTCCAACCCTGTAGCAAGTTAAACTACTGATTTTAAATGTTTTTCCTTCTTTCTCTTTTTTTTAATATCCCGTTGATTATGTTTAATTCTATTCAACACAGCAAATTATATAATATTTACCTTTCATTTTAAACAATTGCATTCATCCTTTAGTAATTATTCAGATAAATTTGTAGTCTGTTTTATTTAATTAAAAGTATCGTGTAATATTGTTTCACATAAATCTCGTGAGATTTAATATACATGTTAAATAAAATGTCTCTTGCACGAGTAAAAAGACATTAATGGCATTTTATAAAATTATGATACCAACAAATTTTCTCTTTAAATATAATTTTCTACAAGATAAAACAACCGTTTGAAATATTATTCTATTCTAGGTCAAGATGATTTTGTTTTTCTTATTTTGACTCGTTCTCGTTCTTCGAAAATCTCTTGCGAGTAATATAATTTGTACTGTAAAAACATTTATCTTTCAAAATACTCTTGGCAAAATATAATTGGCCAAGAATAAACCGCGATACGTCAGGGAAAATGCAGAATGCATAAGGAAAAAAATATAAAATCGAATCAAAATGTAGGACTTCGTTCGCTGACAGATCCGGAGCTTCGTAATTAGTAGTATACCGGCGGTTTGATCCGACGTGAGCCAAGTCGCGCATTCATTCATCAATGTCGGTCTCGTTAGCCGACTGGTTACAACGAAGCATCTCGGCTTATTATAAGGGAAAAAAGCTACGCTATAAATTTGCCCACCATAAATCCATACCCGCGGACAGATACACGGCTACGATGAGACAGAAAGAGAGGTAGGCGCGCATCGAGAGGAAAATATATACGAATGTAGAGACCCCTCTGGGACTCAACCTAATCCTCCGGGATAAACACAGTGTGCGAAGAAGCCTGTGCGTAATAAGAAGGTAACTTAGCTAAAGTGTGGGACGCGCTAATAAATTTCAGTTTAAACTTTCCGGTCGTGCGCTTAGGAAGGCGCCCGGAGGATCGTTCAATTAACCCGGTAGCGCGTCGCGGTTACGTGTGGAGAAGCGCGGTTAATTAAAAATTAAGAGTCGCATGCACTTCTCCCAGCAAAGGCATCTGGAGGACGCGTCAGAAACTTGGAAAAGTTGAAAGAGAGGAAAGCTAAAGATGAAAAAATAGAAAAATACTTTTAAAAAAAAAAAATGGAAAAAAAACCAATTCCATTACAACGATAAAATTATCACGCCGTGAGTGACCGACTTTTGATACATTTTTGTTATATTGCGCACTTTCACAGGCAGATTTATATTTGCGAAACGAATGAATTATCGTACGGCCGATTGCATTTAATTGATAACGCCGCGCTTTCGTATCAAGTGGAGCACGAGCACGATCGTGTTCCGCTTCGCGAGATAAATCCACGGTTGGAAAAGTCGTTGCAGCTATCGATTCGCGTCCCTCGTCGCGGCGCTCGCGCGATTTCCACGAATTACATAACTTTGACTATGCAGCGCGCGTCATTATTGCAAAAACTTATAACGATTTCTACAAATCACCCGCCAGAGCCTTATGGAACGAAGAAACTTTAGATTTATGCGTGTACATTACATGCAGAGGAGAGCATTTAGCCCCTTCGCGCGCTACAATTTCCTACAAAGATATACTCGAAATTATATATCAATTTCGGGGGGGTTTCGATTAACTTACTCGATTCTCTGTGTGTTTGTAATTTCCGTTTCACGCTTCATCGTGCGCGCACTAAGATAGTTAATTAAACTTACATGTGTGTGTGAAATGTAGATACACCAATATAATATCAGGAACGACATCGATAACGTTTTGACAAATGCGGCGCGATTACGAGAATTACACATATTACGATACATCAAGGGTCAATCTCTTCGATAAATTTATATTCAAGCGGATATATCAATCGCCAAAATCGACTGATATATAATTTCAAAGGCTTCCACATATTCTGAAATGCTGTTTATATTATACCAATTACCCGTGGAAATAATCGCCGCCGTATCCAGTGATTAGAATCGCTAACCGGAATGATATCAACGTTCGCGGTCCCTGTATGCGATAATTGAAAGATACAGCATGACGTTTCTACGATATGCTCTTTGGGGGAAAAAAGAGAGGCGGAAAAGCGCGGAATAATCTCCCCGTGAATTTTATACAAGCGTAAAATCTTTTTTTCTCTTCATCCACCACCGAGCTATGCACTCAGATTACCCGCATCCGTCATGCTATATATAAATAAATACGTGAATTCTCTCTCCCCGCGCGTCGACCAATTTATTACATTTACCGTCATGCGTGTAAAAAAAAAATTCCACGAACCGTACGATTCGGCGGCGCCCGATCCCCCGCAGGAGAGAGATTTGGACACAATTTAATTTCTTAGCAAAAGCCGGCGCGTCTCGCTCCTCGTTTTGCGTATCTTCTCTTCCGCGTATCTTTTTACGCGGTTAAATTACAGCGCGGAAAAAAAATTTACCGGCAGCGATTTACTCTTGCGCGTTCCACCTCTGGATTAATTACGCAGCAATTCAGCGTGAAGTTAGATAACTTTTCCGTTTTAACGAGAGCATACATCGAACACAACGGGTATCGCGCCCGCTTTTGTTCTCTCACATAAATTTATATCGCGCACTCGTTCATAGGGTTTTTCGTCCCTCTCGTATCGCCTTTCCCCCATTACTCACTTCGCCCATCCGATTGATACTTTTTCATTCCTGATGACGTAAAGAATCAATAATTTTGTCTACCAGCTAAAATCATTTACAGGGTGTGTACGTGATCCAGCGGACGGAAAACAGATCACGAGCGAATGAAAGAAATTATTGACCAGTGCAACAGTTCGCTAAATTCTTTATCCATGAACGGATAAAATCTTTTTTTTCGAGTATAATCATAAAAAAGGTATATGTACACGATACAAATTTGACACAATAAGCGTATCTGACCGTACGTGACCGTCGACAATTTAAATAATTTTCTTTTTTTATTTGTTTTTTTTTGTATTTTGTTTTTTTTTTGCAGAAAAATGTGCGTCGCGATGTGAATAATTTTAGAACCAGAGAAAAAGTAATTTTGGATTTGAGGTAATGAACTAAATTACAACGCTCTACAAATAAACGAATAAAAATTTCTTTCCTCGACTACTTTTAGATGAACTTTAAGAGGATCTTGACTTGAAACTAAAATATTTTTTATATTAATAGCATGAAAGCATCTTGCAAAGAGATATAACTCTAATTAAACTTAGCATCAACCGCAGGAATAAATATCATTTCAGATATGAGTCAGACTTGAGATTTCGAGTCACAAAAAATATTCTTGTTACTAAATATAATTGTACAACAATATACATATGTTACATCTATTACAAACCTAAATTTGCCTATTTAATAAGGAGAGTTTTAAAAAAATAGCTTCTTATAATTTTAGAAAAGTTCATCAAAATGGGATTCTCTCTCCCTTTTTCTCTCTAATTCTGTCTCTTTTTCTTTTGCAGTGAGCCCTTCAATTACCGCGACGTTTATAGTTTGCGATCCCTCGGGGCCAATGTTCGTCAATCTAACAGGGTTACTCGAGCAGCGGTGGAAAGTTTTGATGCAAAGTTGCCAGTACAGAGGCTGACGCGAGACTACTCCCATTCGCTGTGACAATGTAATTTCGTTATCGTTCCAATTGGTTTCTCAGCACGAGGTAGATGCTTAAACGTGCAATTACGTATAGGAATCAATTCTCGGGACTATAACAAAATGCACCCACCTCTCTTTCCCGCCTGATTTCATCAACGAAGACACAAGAAAATCATCCGCACCCCATTAATTAAACGCTTAACAAGTCAATATATTCACAATGTGATCTCATTAATATTTGGTTTTTATAATATTAATTTGTTTTTCAAATACCATCTGTATATATGGGCACTCATCTTCTCTTCTCTCATTCGTCAAGCTTTATAATCAAGTTATTCGACACGTTCAGTATTTTGTTCTATCACTCATGCATTTATAATTAATATCTATTTTTATACGAATAAAAAGAACGAACCAGTTCTTTTTAAAACCAGATAATTTGTCGATAAAAAGTTAATACGGGTAACAATTAATTTAAATAGTTTTCCTGGCATCATGAGTATGTTCAGCACGTTGCGCGACGATGCGCTGATTACGCTGAATTATACATCGCTATATATTGTACACTGTTAACGCTGAAACGTATCCCTGTCACGCCACATTATCGCATGTGTCCGAAATGAAATTTCCACGAAACTGAGATCTTATCAAACCGGTAGATCTATCTTATTTAAATTAGAAGAAAAAGTCAACTAGAAATCCTACAATACGTATATACATAAATATAATCGTAAAATAATTATATATATAGTAAATAATACCGATAATAATAATTGCGGAATTAACGTTTTTATAATATATATAAAACGTTTCAATATTTGATATCCCTATACAAAAAAAAACAGCAAACTTTAGACGAAAGTATTCTTGTCGTTTATGGATCGTTATACAATAATCGAATCTTCAAGAGCCCATGAGGGCCCATAAGATGGTTTTTCTATGGCTAAAGCTTGAATTAATGTTTCGCGCCGTCGCTGTATAATTAAACCGACTTGGCGGCGCTTCTGGTAAGCAGTTTCTGAAGTATCGCGCGCACAAAGAACTAGTCGGGGACGCTTTGAGATCGCGAGAAGCGGTCCCCTCTTCTCTCTCACCTTCCGACCCGATGATTAAGGATTCCCTTTCTGTAATTAACGGATGCGCAACACGAGACACCCTGCCATCTAAGTATCCTCATGTATACGATTAACGCGGCTAGATATGCGTACCATGGATTCGAGGAAGCGCGCGCCCAGCAACTTGGGATCCCTCCAAGGAGCTCCGCCAGGACCAGGACGTCCCCACGGCGCAGGATGCAGCAGCTAAGCACACGGCGCCGTCGCATATTAAGCAGTTTCCAAGGCTTATTTCCTCGATCTACGTATACGCGGGATCGTCGGGGGTTGTATTAGAACACGTGCCCGCTCGCGCTCGCTTATCCCTATATGTATATCTGTACCCCTTGCTACGGTGTCATCATACACGGGATTCAACAGGGATTCTAAGACGCTCGCGGAATTTCGCATTAGAACCTCATATGCATCCGATTAGCGGCGTAGTCTAATTTCTACAACCCTGTCACGTAATCTTGAAAATTACACCACCGACGAGAAGAGCGGCAGCACACGGTGTATGTTTGCGCATGTCTCTGCACGTGGTAGCTATTGTGCCAATCTCGCGAACTAATATCTCCTCAATTCGTGAAACAAGCATGAGACTGATTCTCTCTCGCCCGGGTAAAATAATAATGCTAATAAATATTTCATGAGTTTGCGCCATCTCGAAATGTCTACTTTAAATATACTCGCAATAGACTAGTTTGATTTTATTTATAAAGAAATTCGACAGTTGAACCAATTTTATATACTTAACCCTGAGTTACCTCTCTGAGTTACGTTAACCCATATCAAAAATAATTTTTTCGAAATTTTAGAAGATCACTTTTCATTTTTTCTCAAATATCTCGAGTCGTAGAAACCTGGTGACATTTGTACCGATATATGCTTTTTTCTTACTGTCTGGTGTATCAATTGAAAAAAAAAATACTTCAAAATAGCTTCATTAGATCCAGAAATATAAACAAAAGAAGATTCTGGGTTACTCTAACCCATGAGTGGTAAAATAGGGTGGCCAAAAATGAGTGGTAACTGAGGGTTAACATATAATCTATTTTTGTTATTTTATTTCGTTTATTTCGTTGAACATCTCTCAGTAGAGATCTGTTAAAAAAATTATGTTGTGTGAAACAAAAAGAAACATTTAGGTCATTCAAATTTATCCATCGTCTCTCGGTCAAAGTTTGAAAAGAGATTTAATATTTTTCATTTAAATTAAAAAATCCATTTTCGCACACGCGACGCAGGGCGACGGTATCGTTTCCGTTAAAGCGTTTCCGGTTCGCGACTATACGGAGCGTCAAAAATTTCACGACGGCGAACCTGTAGGCGTTATAGGAGAATCGACTTTGTGGAAGTAGCGTTTCTAGTTCTACGTGATCGGAGAAATCGACTATACGTCTCAAGAGTTAGAGCGGATACGACGTGTTCGGCCCCGGCGGCACAGCCGCTCTCTCGAAATTATTGCCACGAGAAAAATGCCTCGTGTCCAACATACAAGGAAAGTCCATTACGAGATTTCTCGTATTTGCTGCCATGACGAGTCGATACCGTGTCCGACAATAAAGCTTAACTCATTTGAATATAGCTGTGATTCCCAATAAAAAAGAATCGTCGTATCCTTTTCCGGGGATTTATCCGTTCCGAATGCTTTCTGCCCTTTTTCTAGACTGGTTAAGAAAGTTAATGGATTATTTATTGCAGCAGATATATAAGCAAATTTACGATTATTTAGGTCGAGAATAATTAAAAGCTAAGAATTATTTGGATTAAAACATATACTTTACGAAATGTTGAAAAAAAAATATATATATATATAATGGAATAATAGGATTATATATATAGAGTGTATCTAAATAAGTGTGAAAATTTTAGGAGATGATTCTTTGTCAAAAATTAAGGAGGGGGTTTCTTATATAAACATATACTCTTATATCTCTTCCTAAGGAGTTACACTTTTTTAAAGAGGGAGGTAAAGATTAAGTTTTTATTTTTTCTCAAATTTCAGACAAATTAAAACAATGAAACAAAAAATATCCACCAACTTTTATTTTGGATAATTTAATTATAAGTGCACTTGTAAAAGTGTATTTCTTGCTTATGATTCTTCTGAATTAAATGTGTGTGAAAAATGTTTTAAAATAAAATAACAATGATTTTTGATACATCTTATTTGACAGTTAAATTGACGACTTCTAAATTCCTGTACATATACATGTATAGACCAAGATCTATTAAGTTCTACACGCATCATCGCGTGTTCGATATTCATGCGATGACATTGTAACTTCGTGTCTGCGGTATTGAAAAGGTATCATGTACGAGGTCAAAGATGAGATATTAATGAAAACTTCTGGCGGCGATATCGTCACTTTCGACTGATACAAAATCGTCGCGAATTATTGTGCATAATTAAAAATTATAAAATTATTATCCACTATTGCAATTAATTTTTCATTAGTACACTATCAATATAAATAATTTATTTTAATATTATACAAATTTATTTGTAACTTTTCGAAAAACTAAAATATTCAAACATATTCTTACAAACGCACTTATAATTAAATTATCCAATAATTTATTTCATTATCGCGCACGTGTATAGATTCACCGTCATCATAAATATATAATTCTATATTCTATTATTCCATTATATATATATATATAATATATATCATTACTATCGTAATATATTTTTCACAATTTTTTACAAAACTCCCGGGCTAACTCTCTTAATTACATCTTAATTAATAATTCAAACAAATTAAACCACATTATCATGTGTCTTCTTTCAAATTATACATACTATATCTATTTAGCATATAGACAAAGGAAGTAAATTTCTTAATCCCCAGTTAAAGTAAATCTCGTTGGAATCTTGGTCGTCATTTCGATCCAACTTTGATTCTTAACGTTGACGACAGGATCGACTTAACATCGGGCGTTTCTCGTTCCTTCATGCCATTTCTCCGACGTAGGAGCCGGAAACCCCATACGTGCTGCCTTTGCAATATTCAAGGCAATAATACAGGTGACTTCCGGCACTATTATGCTATTTTCAACGCAACGTGTCTGCGAGTGGGTTGTGTCGTCGAGAAGTCGGGAGTAGTCGTATGTAAGTAATTTGCCTTTGTGCGAAATTTTATGGAAGTTATGCCTCTTGTATAGCAATAAATTCTGAGTCTACTGACGATATTACGCGCTTATAACGATCGTAAGCGTATAAAGATGTAAATCTAATTGGCGATGCATACAAGCTAAAGCTCTCTTCAGTTATATGAGGAAACGTTTAAGGCGAGTTCTATAAAAGCTAAATTAACAGACCGATAGACTGCCGCAATTCTATTTTCAATTATACGTCTGAAATAAAACAGCTTTTTGCTTTTATCCGTATTTTATCGGAAAAAATGCCTCGAGATATGTGTATTTTAGAATGTTGAATATTAATGCATTTGATTAAGATCGCATTTTAGACGATCCATAATTAACGAGAAAGTTCAAGACGAAAATATATTTCTAAAACGGATTTTATCTGTGTATGTACATATATAATGGCAATTTCTAAAATTGACGACGAATAAGTAATTCCTTACGTATACATATAAACATACATATGCAAATTACTATAATATTTTTCCAATCTTTAAAATGAAAGAGATCAGAAAAATATTGAAATATACAAGACACATTTATTAGAAAAGTATGAGAATATATTTTATACACTTGTGTGTATATGCTCTTATTTAACGTATGCTTAAGAAATCAGGGAAATATAAATAAATGCATCTTTCATCTTTTTTGATAAATGTGTGTACTGAGCAAAAAAAATTGTGTATGGTCGTACATTCATGTCGCGGTAAAGAAAAGGTATGGAAATTTGCATGGAAATACGAAGCTCGTTTAATCAAAACAACAAGCGAGGTGAATTCCATGGACATTTTTGCTTTGTTCTGTCAGAGATTAATTCTGTCTATATCTTTATTGTCTATCTATGTAATATATGAGCGTAATACGTAAATGAATGGTTGTTAATTTTCAAGATATGAATTCAAAAATAGTCCGAGTATAATTACAGGATCTAACTACATACTCTTTATTTATAAATGTATAGCGCGCAGTTTTATTGTGAGAAAGTCAACTTTTTAAAACTCCATCTCTATAAGAACAAAAAAAATATTTTATATAAGTAATTAAGAATAATTTCATGACTAAATGCACTGAAAACGATTGAAAAATATTAGAAAAATTGCAGCAATTATTAAAATATAATAATTTCATAAACAATTTGCAATGTAAAGCAAAAATCAAAGTTATCATACACACACATTGGCTAAGAAAATAGCTGATAATAGTTACCGACTTAACGTAACAGTGATTTTTATCTCATCTCTTATATTTTACAGCAACAATTTTCTTAAGTATCAAGATAACACCGTCTAAAATAGTCTTTTCCTTTAGTGTTTCGAACGAATTGTACCATCTATCGTTATCTTTTCAAGAAGAAGATAAACTGCGCTGCTACTACTTTCTCTTAAAAATAATATCTACAATAGTTTTATCGCGAATCTCTTGCTTTTGCCCTCATTATTTGGTCTTTTTTATGTTTACGTAAAAAAATGGTTACAGAAAAATTTATTCAAACACAATTAATTCGTGCATTTTTAAATTGTTCGCTAAATTAAAATCTAAATTGAAATTACAAATATTCTTTAATTTGAAACAGAAATTGTGTTTCTATCTCTTTATTAAAATGAAAATTTTGATCTGTATTTTTATATCAAAATTAAAACGAAATTTATTCAATTTTTAAAGAAATTTATTTTGCAATGATTTTAATTGTTTTTAATTTCGTTGCAGTAATAATTTGATTATAAATGCTTGAGTAGTTAATTTTTTTATTGAAATGTTTTTGTGTGATTATATTCTAAGCATTAAATAGATAGATGAAGCAAAAAAGGATATCGATAGTGCTCATGTACGCTAAAATTAACAGTATAAGAAATTAAAAATAATAAACAAAATATATAAAATATTTAACAAAATATTTAAAAAAATTCTCTGGATCTTTAAAACCCATTATGAAATATTGTTATTCAATAACATATTTCTTAAAAACTTATCTTGAAAAAATCGAAAAAATCTTGAATATTAATAATATTATATAGTCTATAATATACATGAGTTGCGAAAAAGATGTATAAAGATTGAATTTACATTATTAACATATAAGTAAATTCTGGAAAATATATCATCATTTATCTTCGACTAAGGGAGTCAAGAAATTTATAACGTAATCGTGCAAATTCATCATTTGATGCATTAAGAATATTCTGAGTGTAATTGTATTAAGCTCTTATTCCGATGATGGATATGAACATTGAAAACATTCAGCTGTTAGAAAATCTCACCGTACTTTCACACACACAAAGAATGTTGCACAATAATAAAATCATTACTTACCGTGAGTTTGATGTAGATAATGCAATTGAATTATAATTATATTTTAAGAGAGTTCCTCAAGATTTTCCGCAGATATATTTTTTAACAATTATTAAAGTACTAATGAATCAACCGCAATCATATATGTTATATCGCATTAATATATGCGATATATAACATATATTTGCGTTATTAAATATTATTATTAAATATTATTTTGACAAAAAAAAATTAATGAAGAGGAGTAAGAGAATTATTAATATACCAGTATTTCTAGCGAAAATAAGTTGAGTAAAGTGAAATTGCTGCTACTTTGTAGCCACTCTTTAAAGTTGATGTCAGACAGAGAATATTCTAATATGTGTTTCAACGCAATGTTGTATCACGATCTGTGTGCTGCCTGAAAATTTCGTGCGGTACACAACGTTGCGTGATATTATTTCCTAATGCTTGTGTGCCTTCATACGTGGTCACACATATGTTTATACACGTGCACGGATTTAATAACTCGATTTGTACGTATAACCTCGACTGTATACTCGGCAACCGAGGCGCGTATGTTGAAATTAAAGATGCATAATCTTCGCAGTCACAGTATAATTTCTATAATAATTTTTCTACGAAAATAGGTTCATTTTTTTCAAGTTTTTCTCGGACAGAATTTAATTAATCTAGATATCAAAAAAATTTTGCATTGCAAAATTATAGTATAACTTCTGTCCTTTTTTTCCATCTCATCTTAATTCACATATTGAAAAAATGAAACTACGGAGATAAATGGATCTGCTTGCATGCGCGACACAACCAGTTTAAGTTCTCCGAGTTCTCTCAAACTATTTAACTCCCATTTCCTACTGAGAAAATTGTCGTCTCAAGAGCTGATGCTTAGAGCGAAAGCATTAAAAATGCGACAACAAATCTTACCGCGCACGTGTAACACCGTTTTCGCATGCATCAGCGCGACGTGCGTAAGCGACAAAGCCTGAAAGTTTTCAGAAACGTGCACGCGAACGTCGCTGCGACTGAGTCGAGGCAAAGTTTTGCGACGAGAGATGCGCCGATAGTTTGAATGAAAGGAAAATGATGGCTACAGACACAGTCTGTCCCGAGTGGCTTTACCTGACCGTAACTGTGACATCTCCTCGGCAGCTCAGGCGGCTCCAGGGGTACGTTTTTCTTCCTTAGAGTCGCCGCACAGGGCGCGCCGCCACCCGGTTTACCCCACGGCGAGTAACTGGCCAGAATTTTCTGCAACTGCAAGGAAAACAATTAAGGATATAAAGTCGCTGCGCAAACAATTAAGAATATAAAATCGATCTACATGAGCTTATTCAGGCTGTAAGTCACACGTTCGATATTTTTGTTAAATTTTTCGTCGCGTACAGATAATATCGTAATAAATTCTCTCTTTACTTAAACTTAAAATAAGAGAATTTTATAAGAGTTTCTCTGATTAAATATATTTACCACAATAAAAGATATTATAGTAGCTATCAAAATAAGCTACAAAATATGTTCGATCAATTGTATCTATCACTATGTATACATAGTGATAGATATTAATATTTTTTATTGTAGTAAATATTTTAATCAGAGAAACTTTTATAAAATTCTTCCAATATTATATTGTCTCACGATTACCCTGATTTTTAGGATAAACTCTAAAGAGAAAATTCTCTTTGTATCCATATGGAAAACAAATAAAAAAAGGTACGACTTTAAAAAATATTTAAATACGCCTAATATAATGGTAGAAGTTAAGAATGGCTTTTAAAACAAAGTAATTTAATCATTTTTCCATAATAGAACGTTTAAATGTAGATGAAGTGTATTTACACCGTGAACCCTTCGCGGATAGAGATGGGATTAGCTCTGAGCATATCGGTCCTCCTTGATAACATTGCTAACGCACTTACATTCGACCGCATGCACTTGCATCAGACCGCGACTACACCAGATTCCCATGTAATAAGAGAGGATAGAACCGCGAATAATCCCTCGCCTGTCATTATTAGCATGCCGGTTGCGCCAGTAAATCTCCCCATCCGCATGCAGTAAATACAATTTAATGCGGTCGATGTGTGTATATTAACGCGATACGAAATAATCACCGGAGCAATAATTACGCCAGGATTTTCATCGGCATAATTTTGAGTGATTGGGGGAGGCGAACAAAATATACGTGCGATGTGCGTTACGCCGAATTGAATCTCGTGTATTTTTACAATATATTCCATGCGAATTGTTATTTTCACAAAGGATGGTAATGAATGTAACGAGCGTGCGTTCTGCAAATATTTAGGACCATCCCTGCGGCGATGATTGTGCATCATCGTTATGCTGTGTCAATACCAAAGTGAAATAGGGAATAAAGACTGCGGATAGCGAGATTTTAAATGACGAATGAAATTGGCATAAAGTTGTATTTTTAAAAAAATTATAAAAATAATTCGAAAAAAAATTATTCGTCGCATTTGTTATAAAATTGTAAAAGCGTATAGCAAGACTAACGTATATTGAGATAATATATAAACAAAAAACTGATACAATTTAAACGAATCAGTATCATCATGTTTTGAAGTTTCGACGATGCTTGCAAATTTTTTCCAAGTGTAAACGTGTTTCCTTTTTTGCAATTCAAGGTAAATATCTTATTTGCAATTGCGACTTATATTTGCAATCGCTTCCAGAAATTACCATTAAGACGCGACCTCAATGCACACCTTAACAAGCTGTACAACGTTTGTTATAACAAGTTTGTAACAAGCACGGGGAGACGAGAGCGTGAAGTTTATGTAAAGCGCAACGATAGAGACCGTGATAGATTATTGGGTTATCTTTCGCGGCTTGTTTCTTAGGATAGTTAGGCGGAGATTATGCAAATCCACTTTAATAGGATACTCGTAGCTTTATTACTGTTCGCTTGCACGTAATTTCTCGTTCCAAATTCAACGATGCGTTGCGTAAAACATTGAAATAAGCGCAACTAGGTCAGTCACGTCAACGTCGAAATGAAAGCACCGTCTTCAAAACACCTCTATAATAGGGATAAATGTATGGAAATTATTCAATGTTAATATTCTATCATGATCCAACGTTCAAAAGTAACTAGTTTGAAGTATCACTTTGAGATAATCTCTATTGAGCATTGTTAATCCTATTTTAAATATTTATCTACTTTTCTAAAACTTTTTATGTATTTTCGGCCTTTAATTAAATATACCTGAACCGCAGCTGCCGTTTATTCCATTATTGCATTACATATCGGAAATATAAGCTTTGTGATACAAAAATAAAATTCTCGGTTTGGTGAGCATTTCCGAAATCAAACATAAAGTCAAAAGTGAATAATTCGATTTGAGCTTTTACCGCGCGAGCTGCAAAAGGATTAATTACGAAATCTAGGCAACCTCGCCTTAATGACGTTCCGGTTCACCATCAGGGCTGCATCTCTCTCTCTCTCTCTCTTTGACTCTCTTTATCTGATCGGTAACAATGGCAAGTGCGAGACAATGATGTTAAGGGGTGGTTGCCCCTAGGGCAAGTGACATAAACGGCAGCAACGCGACCAAGCCAGAGAGAACGCCCATTTATGACACATACCTCACGTTGTTCGCGATGCTTTTGACGTTGCAGCTCCTCCTTCCGTCGCCTCCACAACGCCGTACCCTCCTGAACGACCCGGCGTTCGCGCTTTCTCCTCGCGTCCTCTTCGACTTCCGGCTCGTACGTCGTCTCAGGAATTTCCTGCGCCATTTACGTATACCGTGCCCACCACCGCCGGCTGAAAAAGAAAAGAAAAAGAAGAATAGGTGCGGCTGTGTGTGCACGATCACAACAACATGCATATAGGGATGCGCGCGAAGCGGAGCTCCTCCTTAAAAAACATCAACTTCGAATATCGAATGCTAAAATAGGGACCGGAGCAACTTGGTACAAGCCGCAGCACGTGGGTTCTGTCATCATTCGTTATCGATTTAACAGGATATTGCTCTTCTCTCTCGGGAGACACACGCCGCCCGTTGCACGTAGTCGACGGTGTAATAGAAGTGCCAATGCTGGGACACCAATGTTGTAATCGCGAGACATTCGGTTTTATATATCGTTTCCCGATATATAAAACGAATTCGCGAAACTCACCTCCGGCTCCGCTCCGTTCTGCCCGTTTCGCGCTTTGTTCATTTATTTCGTCCTTTCGAGCTTATGATTTAATTTTACGTATCCCACTGCGAAATGACACATTTGTAAAGGAAGCAGGACATAAGTATAATTATGGATTAAATTACCGACAGTTTAAATTACGAGTGTTTGTATTACATCTCGTGCGTGTTTTTTTAACAGCACTTTTTCATTTTTCGTCGACATGTCGAGAAATCATACAATATGTATAAATATATCTTGAAATTTTTATTATTAAAAGAAAACGAGGGGGAAAACAACATAGAAAGAGATGCAGAATGTTGCAATTGAAAAGCACAAGCTTATTGAATTGGATTGTTATAAATAACAGTCGCCAACTTTATATTCAGATCACGTTTGATAAATCACTTTTATCTGTCACACGAATATAACCGTTATATAACTTTTATTGTATATTTTATTGCTTCGTCGTGCACATCAGATTGATATCTACACTGTAATAACTGTAAAACGTATTTCCTTACCTCTACAACATTAAAATAAGGTGCTTCTTAAATTCGAGAATGCCACATGCTAAGTTGAATATATCAAATAAATATTTAATTTGTATCATTATATTTCGATTTAAATTATGCAAAAAAATATGTCAAAAGTTGTAAAAATCTGTCACTTGTAATATTTATTTATTATAGTTAATTTATAATCTAATAATTAATAATCTAATTGTAAGTTATTGAATTAGCAATTGCTTATTTTATACTGTGACTGAATGTATAATAATAGAAAAAGTAATTTTCACGATCTGTAATCGGAAAAATTATATATGATTTGTATGAAAATAAAATTATTTATTGGTAAAATATTATCATATTATTGTCAAACAAAATATCTCGAAAAAAGTGCATTTTATTATTAATTGCTAAAGACACAATTTTTTTATTAATATTACACTAATGCATTAACATTAATAAATTTAAAAAATGTATTATAAAGTTTTTAAATAAAATAACATAAATTAATTTAATTAAATTTATGCATCGTCTACAAATTCTAAATTTATCTTTTTATTTACTGATTTTATTTTAATAGTGTAAATTTAATTTAAATTAAATTAAATTTACATTATATTAAAATAAAATCAGTAAATAAAAAGATAAATTTAGAATTTGTAGACGATGCATAGACTATGCGTTATCATAGCTTAAATCTAACTTCAATGATATCTATCTAGAGATAAAACACTCGTGTAGAGCAGAATGGTAACGTTTTATTTTGTGATCCGTGCATTTAGATCGTGATCTATAAATTCATGAACAAGCACGATGCGCTACAACTATACACTTCCCGCGAGAGAGACTCATAAATAAGCCGCGAAAATGCACTCAGTGGTACAATTGACCGTAAAGCCGACTCCTAGATGCAAACCTCCGAGTACCATTGATTGCATTTGAGATATTGTACGGAAAAAAAGTTACGAGATTTTTGGAGTAAACATGGATTGTTTCATTCTGCAAATAGCATCATTAAACTAACAATACGATATATTTATCCGTATTGTTTTATTTAATAACCAATATCCTAAATACAATTAGCGATCTTGCAATTTTACGACTTGTTATTCTGCATTTATTTATTTTTTATGTGTAACTTTTTCTTTTATACATTTAAGAAATGATGCAAGTACAGCAAAAATTTTCTATAAAAAATTAACTAAAACAGCTAAGTAATTGACAAGTATATTTCTGCTATAAATTCTATACGTGACAAACAACAGTTTTAACAGATACAAAAATATCACAAGCGATGCTATTTTTTAGTTTAAAAAAAAAGATAAAATTTATAAATACAAAGTTTTATAAAAAATATATCAAAATTTATAAAAAAATTGCAACTCTAAATACACAAGTGTTTCTTATTTTGTCTTTAATTTGCAGGCATCCGTATTAAAAGATAGTACAAAATACAAAATGCTCAAGCTATCAAATGAATATCACTCAAAAAAATATTTCGCTGATATAGTTAGACGTTTAGATGTTTTTTGTATCTGTTAAAACTGTTGTTTGTGTCACGTATAGAATTTATAGCAGGAATATACAATACTTGTCAATTACTTAGCTGTTTTAATTAATTTTTTATACCTAGAAAATTTTTGCTGTACTTGCAAAATAATTTTTTTGAGTGAAAAATAACAAGGATAAAATGGCATCTGGTCTAACTTTTCAGGTCGTATGCATTATTGAAACCAAAAAAAATGTTTTCTTTATCGAACGAAATTTTCTGTTATCAGAGTTCAATTTAAACTCCGCAAACTGCGCAATAATAAGATTTAATCGAGCGAGCAGAACGGAGATTCGGAAGGATTCGTCACCAAATGTCACGTAGCGATCAGGGTATAAATTTTTTATCGGCTCGCAAAAGAGAGGAAAATTGGAAGAGACGGATCGCGGGAGATTTCGATTCGCTATGCCAGGAGCAATTCGATATTACACACGATGCGTGTGTCGCTCGACGAAGAGAAGAAGCCGATCAATACCTTGTCTTATGGTCAATAACGAGCGAACCTAAACAGAGAGAATCAAATCGTAATACGGTTCTAACAAAATACGTGGAAGGATCGATTTCGTGGCTTTTTTACAGCGATTTTTCGCCGATCGATCGGCATCCTCGTCTTTCTCGACGGCAAACTGTAAAACTGGCGGGTAAAAAAATAGAAATAGAAATATTCTACTCTCTTGCACGTGCATTTGGCGCTCATATACATACGTGTACGTTCACGATGTTACAATTTCTCGCGTGCCATCATCGCACAGAGGGACGATGATGATACGGATATATACGTGCGAATTGATATAAATACTTTTTCGCGAGCCACGATTATATACATTCCAATAGTGCCTCTCTTCTCATAGCGGCTGGTCTCATCATGACGACGGGAGCACGCGACGACTGCCGACCCTCGTGAATCCGCGCCTTCGTCCGGGGTGTTTCACAGGGGTTGCGGTAGTCGCCGACGTCCCGGCGTTCGCCGACATACCGGCGCACGATTTTCAAGCTATAGGAATAGCTATACGTACCTGCAAGACTGATATGCGAGTGTGTGTGAGTATTATCTACCACACCGCTATATTGCCTTTCAACCTTCGACTTCCGACCTCCAATCAGGACCGTAATAGCCACCAGATTGCCCCCGAACAATCAACGCGATGCTCGCGGATTACCGGAAGTGTTCCTCAATGCACAAAGGGAAGTTGTAAGCTGTAATCATCGAAGTGGCTGTTAAGGATGGATAAACAATGCTTAAGAGATTTGCATTACTTAGTACAATTTTAATATGGAGTAATTATGCCACGAAAAAAAAATTAGGTAAATTTTAACTGTCTCTATATTACACAGGAAATTTAATTATCATGCCTGAATTTTAGCTATAATAGCTAATATTTTTTCAGCTATAAAATTCTTCATTAAACTATAGCTAAAAAATATTAGTTACTACAGCTAAATTTAAGCATGATAATTATAATTAAATTTTAGGTTGCAATAATGTATATATAAGGACAACTAAAATTTATGGTAAAAACTATGGTAGGTACAATTTTTTTCGTGTATTGATAATTTTTTTATAAGAAATAAATATTGTAGGGCAACTAAACGAACAAAATTACATAAGATCTAAAGATATTTATTAATAATTAAATTCTCATTCTATTAGAGAAACAATATACAACGTAAACGTTTCGACTACACTACAATCTTCTTCAATACATAAAACTCAAATATTTAAATACAAAGTTAACGATTCTTCGCTGATGAACAATAGATGAGTAAGACGATTGGTCTGAGATTCCAAGTTTTGCGACATGCTGTGGAGATTTTACGCGAATTAAATTAATATCAAAGAAAATTAAAAAATCTTTCAACTTACATTATCGTTTTAACAAGTTCTTCTTCTCGAAATTTCAAGTATGTGTTGCGAAGTCTAAATAACAAATGTCAAGGTAGAGAGCGTGATGTATATATTTATTACCAATGTTTTTCTAAACTATGATCCAGCTAATTAATTCCATTTTCTGTTCTTTAACTTGTTAAAACGATAATGTAAATTGAAAGATTTTTTAATTTTCTCTGATATTAATTTAATTCGCGTAAAATCTCCACAGCATGATTAAATGTCGCAAAACTTGGAATCTCAGACCAATCGTCTTACTCATCCATTGTTCATCAGTGAAGAATCGTTAACTTTGTATTTTAATATTTGAGTTTTATGTATTGAAGAAGACTGTAGTGCAGTCGAAACGTTTACGTTGTATATTGTTTCTCGAATAAAATGAGAATTTAATTATTAATAAATCTTTAGATCTTATGTAATTTTGCTCGTTTAGTTGGCCTACAATATTTATTTCTTTTAATTTCGTTAATTTATACGAGCCTTTCATTAATTAATTTTAATTTTTTTATATTCATAGATTTTTATGACTATTTTTACTTAAATATCAATTAACATTTCTATTCGCTCGTGTATTGTATAAAACAACAAAAGTATTCAAAAAAAGGCCAACTTATCGAGCAATATTCAAGATGTTGTATCCAATTAAAATTTATTTCATAAACAAAATATTAAAATTACAAAAAAACCTTCCATAAACGTTTCAACCGCACGCGGTCTTCCTCAGTATAACAGTGTTACGTAATTTATAATTCTTACAAAAAAATAGATCATACTATTCTTAAACTTACTAATAGTCCGTTAATTCGAGTCGAGAATTTATTAGAAATTTATGCGTGTTACAATTTATCATATTTATTTATAAAAGTATTCGCCGTCTTATGATAAGGTCTCGTAATTATTCTTCATTATTTCAGAAATTCTTAATTTTTTTGTGTCGCCTCTTCTCACAGTTTTAACACCATTTTTTAAAAAATTTTGAAATTATTATAAATAGATAAAACCATAGTCTAACAAGACACCTCACTTTGAACTATATCAAGTCTTGTTAGACTATTGGTTTTATCTATTTATAATAATTTCAAAAATAAAATTTCGATATAGTTCAAAAATGAGGTGTCTTGTTAGACTATTAGTTTTATCTATTTATAATAATTTCAAAATTTTTTTAAAAAAATGGTGTTAAAACTGTGAGAAAAGGCGACACAAAACGCCTATGAATATTAAGAATTTCTTGCTTAAAAATGAAGAAATAAATTTTAATTGGATACAACATCTTAAATATTGCTCGATAAGTTAGCTTTTTTTTTGAATATTTTTGTTATTTTACTTAATTGTATTTTGATTATTTTAAAAATTTATATCAAAAGCGTAACGATATTCCAGACAAATTACGTAATTCATTACATGGAGTAGCTCGAGATAACGTTATCGATCTAGATTTTCGTTGCTCGAAAACAACATAATATATATATGTATATATGTATATAAATGTCCCACGAACAACAAATTATCTGATTTTGCATTTATCACATCATGTATATCTCCGAAAAAATCTGTTATAAAATATGAAAAATATAAATAAAAAATCTTTTTGCAAGCTACATATATATATATATATATATATATATATATACATATATATAAATGTGACTTTGAGGATAATATATCACTAAAACAATAATAATTACTCATTTAGAGACTCGAGCGATAGTCATCCATTGAAAAACTTCATGACTCGTAAAATAAAATGTTATATTGAAAGGATAAAAGATGACTGTCCTGCACGGACAAGCCATTTTTTACATTTTTATCTACAAAATCTACACGCAGACGAGATGGTTATCAAAATGCTATTGACTACATATCATTGTTACGGTGATTTTTTTCGTATATCGAAAGTTCAAATGAAACTATTGATTCATCAACATACAAAACGTAAACATGTCATTGTATAAATACGTGCGTGTTTTTTATATCCATATATATATATATATATATATATATATGTGTGTGTGGGGGGGGGGTGTGTGTGTGTGTATTCCCACAATTTTATTAACTTTAATTCATTTAAAAGCGATATATGTACTAAAACTACAAGCATATTTCGTCAGTATAGTTTGTTACAAAACTACATGTGAAAGTAGTTCTATCTTTTCGCGTACGTAATCTTATCTTTATATAATTAAAATATATATATTATAAGTGGATCAAATGTAAAATGATGCTTACCGATTCACGTATGGAACGAAAGAGAGCAACATTTCCGGTAGCACGCTTTAATAATTGAATGAAGAGCTGCCAACTGTGCGCCTGCAAATATTTAAGGCAAGCAACGCGAGAAAAATAAAAGCAACTAGATATTCGCAATATGGCCA